TTTGGGTGTACAATGGAACATTCAATCAGATGCATTTCAGTTCAAAATTACATTGTCAGACAAACCCTTGACCAGAAGGGGTATTCTTTCTACAGTTTCCTCCATCTATGACCCCTTAGGACTTCTTTCTCCCATAACTTTAGTAGGAAGGAGGATTCTCCAACAAATGTGTGCAGAAAACTTTGATTGGGATGATCCAATTTCTGATAACATTTACATGCAGTGGCAGCAATGGAGAGAAGATCTGCAGAATCTTAAGACCTTGCAAGTGACTCGTTGTTTCAAATCTGATGATTTTGGCGATCTTGTTTCCGTGCAATTTCATCATTTTCTCGGATGCAAGCACTAATGGCTATGGACAATGCTCTTACTTGCGACTTCAAGACCATGAAGGCAAAATCCACTGTTCACTCCTTATGGCCAAAAGCTAGAGTCGTTCCTCTCAAGACCATGACAATTCCTAGATTGGAGCTTACCGCAGCAACTGTTTCTATCAAGATTAGCAATCTGTTGAAAAAGGAACTGCATTATGAAGCTGCAACTCACCATTTTTGGACAGATAGTCGAGTAGTGTTGGGTTATATTTCGAATGATTCTAAGAGATTCCATGTGTTTGTTGCCAATCGTGTCCAACAAATAAGAGACTTTTCTGATCCATCTCAGTGGAGATACATTGAAACTACACAAAATGTTGCCGATATTGCTTCCCGTGGAGCAATGGTTTCAGAGCTAGTCAATTCCAAGTGGTTTACTGGACCTGATTTCATTTGGGAAAAAGATAGCATTCATGTTACAAAGAAGGAGTTACACGCATTATCAGAAAACGACCCAGAGTTGAGGTCAAAATGTTTTGCATCAGTGGCTCAGATTTGTCCCTTTTCCTCAATTCTTGAGCGCCTGGAATAATATTTTTCTGACTGGAATCACGCCAAAGTAGCAATTGCTTTGTGTCTACGTTTTAAGCGTATGTTAATGAACAGACTGGTAAAGAGACCAAAGCCTCAAATTCTAAATGTTGATTTGCACGAGTTTCCAATAAAGACTTACCAGCGCCCCACAGTAGAAGACTTGCGTCAGGCAGAAATAGAAATCATAAGGCAAGTACAAAGTACTAGTTTTGAAAGGGAAGTCAAATGTCTCCTTAGTCAAATGTCTACAAAACAGTCTGCTATCGGCAGGGATTCGTGTCTTTATCGACTAAGTCCAGTTATTGATGAAAATGGACTCATTCGTGTCGGAGGGCGTTTGAACAATGCTTCATTAAACTATGGTTCTATACACCCCATCGTCTTACCTCGGAAATGTCATGTGACAAAACTGGTAATAAAAGTACTATCACGAACGGTGTACAACACCAAGGACGTGGCATAACCACAAAACGAAATACGTTGGCAATGGTTATTGGATAATTGGAATGTAGTTCCGCTGATTTCTGATCTAAATCTTTCATTTGCACAGTCTTGTCGCAAACTTCGAGGTTCTGTACAAGACCAAAGGTCAATGTCAGACTTACCATTTGATAGAGTTGATGCCTGCACACCACCATTTACATATAGTGGTGTAGATTTCTTTGGCCCTTTCCATGTTAAGGAAGGTAGGAAAGATTTGAAGCGATACGGTGTATTGTTTACGTGCCTTACCTGTCGTGCTATTCACATTGAAATAGCAAACACACTAGATACTCATTCTTTCATAAATGCGCTTCGCCGCTTTCTGTCTGTAAGGGGCCCAATCCGCCAGTTAAGGTCTGATAGAGGTACTAATTTTGTAGGCGCTGAACGAGAACTCCGCGAAGCGGTCTCAGAAATGAATAATGATAAAATTACCAATTTCTTACTTAAAGAGGGTTGTGATACCTTTTTGTTCAAATTTAATGTACCTTCAGCAAGCCATATGGGCGGTGTCTGGGAGAGACAGATACGCACTGTCAGGAATATACTCTCAGGTCTTTTACATAATTTCGGAGGTCAGCTTGATGATGAAGCTTTACGTACCTTTGCGTGTGAGGTAACAGCAATTGTAAATAGTAGACCCTTGTCGGTCGAGAATTTAAATGATCCTTTGTCTGCGGAACCGCTTACCCCTAATCACTTACTTACCATGAAGACACAGGGTCCTCCTCCCTCCTCCAGGGAATTTCATAAGTACTGATCTATATACCCGTAGAAGGTGGAGACGCATCCAGTATCTCGCCAATGAGTTCTGGAACCGATGGCGAACAGAATATTTAAATAACTCTTCAGGTTAGATCTAAATGGATCTCTGCCAAGCGTAACATTAAGGTCAATGATGTGGTCCTAGTTAAGGATGAAAGTATGCCTCGTAATAAGTGGAGAATGGCTGTAAGTAGAAACAGCAAACCCAGATTCAGACGGTATGGTAAGAAAGGTGAGCGTCAAAACAAATGTTGTTTCCTTTGATGCTAAGGGTAAAAGCAGTCAAGTCAATAACGCATCTTGAAAGACCTGTGCACAAACTTGTATTGTTACACGAAGCGCCTGAATCTTAATTACTGATAGTGGGTTCAGCCCCGTCAAGGAGCCTTTATTGTGTGTTGTTGACTGATTTTTTTGTAAAATTAGTTCCACACTAATTTTGGGGAGCCATGTTAGTGTAGCTAGTGATGACAACGATATTTTCGTAATCATTTCTAGATGACAACGATATGGTTCCATATTATTAGTTGTTGTGGTGTGAGTTGACCTCCCTTTGGGAAAACGGCTTCGGTTTTTTGGCGCTGTTTTTCTTGCCATCATATTTCCGTAAATTTCCATAGGATCGTTATAGACCCAAAAGAGGTATATTAATTAGCAATCTTTCAAGTTTTTTACTTTGATACTTTTTAATGTGTGTTGTCCATTTATTTCGTTTTATATACGTAGGAAAAATATACAGTTCAAATTGTAGTATGTAATAAGTTTTTTCGCGATAAGTGTTAAATCTTTCTGATCTGGATATTTTAATCTAAGAGTTTGAAATCAAACTAAATAAGTATGCCATTTTAAGTATGTGTTTGCTAGTGAAAATTGAATATGGGGTGTAATTTTTTGTTATTTGCAGTTTGACCGGGGAGTCCCGGAATCTTTGAAACCAAAATAAAAATCTTTAAACGAACAAAATTTTTCTGTCTACTTTTAGGCCCAAACAAACCACATTTTTCAAAATAAATTTTAAGGGGCCCAATTTTCAAAGGTGTGGTACGGGGTTGACATCTTTAAAAAAGGGGGGTTTTTAAATGATTGCCCTCAATGTATATCCCGGGTTTCTTTTTAAAAACCACATCAAAAAAAAAATAACAAGTAATTTTTCTAATTTTTCTAGCATGCCAATCCCAAAATTCATAATGAACAATGTTTTCGTTTTCCCCTCCTTTTTATAAGGGGGATTTTTACCCTTTTTGGTAGTTTATAAAAAAAAATCTTTCATCAATGGTACTAAAGGGCATTTCAACTTGCTGCATTTTTTTGCCCTTGGAAAGCCCTTTGATGCTTTGCATCCAAAGCTTTTTTTTGTAAACAACTTTTTTTTGGGAAAATTCAAAATTTTTTTAAAGTTGCCTGCGAATGCACAAATTCTTTTTCCCCAAAAGTTTTACTTCCCGTCACCAATTTTTCATCAATTTATTTGTGCCTTTAAAACTTATTTTTTTAAAGTTTTAAAAAATTTAAATTTTTAACGCCCCCTTTCTGGGAGGGAAAAATAGTCGCTAAGTACCCCTTTTTTTTTTGCCCTTTTTGAAAATCGCGCCTGGGCCCTTTTCTCACCCCTCATAAAATGCGTTAAAAACTTTTCTCCGGCGTAAAATTTTGTAAAATTTCCTTCTCTGGTCAGCTTTTTGATTTTTTTTCATCCCCCAAAAAAAAATTTTCGAGGCCCCCCCAACCCATTTCTCCCCCCAACGCTGCCTTTTTAATTTGGGAATTTTTTAAAAATTCCCCGGGGTTTTCCCAAAAAAATCAAAAACTTGGAAATGCTGGTAAAAATTGTTCATGGGGTTAACGTTTAATCCATCAATAACACATGAAAATTATATCCAAAATATTATAAAAGTAATTCCGTTTTGTTTTTTTTATCCTCGTCGCCAGATGATAAGTCCTAACGGTGGATATTAATTGATAACAACTATGTTTCTGCTTTGATCGTGTTTACTAAGGTTCCATGTTTTTTCCGGAAGTCCCGGTATCATATTACATACAACATACATATATACTATGGTGGTCTCACATACATTATAACATTAGTCTGTAGGACATCACAATTACATTTATTTGAAAAGCTGACCATTACACTTACTTGAAAAGTTGACCTTACTGAAACATTACGTACATACAATAAAGCAAATCAAGTATGATTGTCAACTTAACGTTTTTAAAAAAAAAGCAACCAAAAAAAAAAACCGGACAATAGACAGGAAATAAAACATTTCCCCCTTATTTAAACATTTAAAGGTAGGCTTGGGAAAAAAATTTCCCTTGGGGGCTTTGGAATTCCTTAAAAATTTATAAGGGAGAAAAGAAAAAATTATTTTATGTTTCGTTAAAAATTCTTAAAAATTTGGGGGGTTTAAAGGGCGGGGAAAAGGGAAAAACGGGGCACCAATTTCCCCCGTGTTATTTCGATAAAGAAGGTTTCATTTTAAATTAACTTTTGTTTTTTTTGTTGGGTTTTTTTCTGGGTTAAATTTTCCCCAAAAAAAATCCCTTTTTTGGTCCCCCCTGAGTTAAAATTTGCACCCCCAATTAACATTTTACCTTACAAAAATTTTTAAAAATTGGACACCCTAAAACCTTTTCACTGGTTATTTTTTAAAAAATACCCAGTAGAGTTAGAACCCGAAAGGGAATGACGTTTTAATTTAAAATATTAAATTAAAAATTTTAGTAATTAAAAGACCAGTAAAATGATCCCAATTGGGGGAAAAAGAAGCTGCAAATTTTGTTTTTTGTTAAAAATTAAAAAAAACGGTTTAAATTTTTGGGGTTTTTTTTAAAGAAATCTTATAAAAACTATTAAAAAAGTAAACTTTTAAAAATGATTAAAGATGGCGGAAAAAATTGGGAACCCCAAAAGAAGTTTTAGGAAAAACCCATCATGTTTCCCGACCCTTATTGTTAAAAACCATTTGAAAAGAAAATTTTAATTTTTTCCCAATAAAAAGTGAAATGTTCATTAAATTTTTTGTAAGTACAAAGTAAACTTTTATGATTTTCATTGTAAACAAACAAACATATTATTCATCAATTAATGAAAGTCATACCTGATGTCAAAAGTGTAATCTTTGTTTGTTCAAACATATCCAAAAGAAATATCAATTTAACAAAAAAAAATGTTTCTTCCTTTTTGAAATTGATTTTTGGTTTTAAAAAATTAATTTTTAAAAGTAAAATTAAAAAGTTGGGATCCCAAAAAAAATGGGGGTAATTTTTTAGGAAAAACTTTAAACTAAAAAGGTTTTTAATGACATGTACTACTATATATTTTACATTATTATCTCCATATCGAAATACAAGCGGAAGTCAAATGTTAAGGTTAAATCTTGCGTAAAACTGTTATCGACGAAACACGCAAACTATATTGCATGAAGTGTTTACCTCTCACAGACTGCTTATATATCTAGTCAAGCGGAATGACGTGACGGTTATTTAAACTATCAGATGTTTCTATTGGTGACTTATGTTGAAACATGATATTCAATATATGAAGGAAAACACAAAACGTAAAATAAGCCAAGGACGAGGCTCACAGCGATCGAAAATGTGAATTAAATATTTATTATAGTAAATGTTTGAAAGTTTCAAATATCACTTTGATATGTCTCAATACATTGTTTCAGAAATATATAAAATATTTCGTTCAAATAGTATGCAATATTTCATAAGACACAAAAAACAAAAAGCGATATATGCACAATAATTCGACTTCTAGATTAATATCGACCCAATATGGCAAAAATCCTTGCCAATAACCGCCACTGCAAGCTGATAAAGTTTTCCCCCACTATCCTCAAAACGGTTTGCGAGACATGGTAGCATTGCAATTTCGATATCATTACACATACCGTTTATCCTTAAAATCAAATATAGAGAACATCAGCTGTGATAACGTTGAAAGTTAAAATAAAGAAAACGTTAAAAAATAAATGCATTTACATTGTTAACTCAAACAAAAGTTTATAAAAAACGGTTTATGTGGTTGACATTGCACATGAATTCGTAAATAAAGTGATCATTTGCCTCAATACTAGTGTGTCATCCTTATTTGTTTAAGTACATACGTGGTGATTTAATAATTTGAAGTTGAGAATATCTCATTTAATACTATGTACAATGGAATTCTAATGCGTTGTCCCATTCCTGTTGTTGCTTGTTTCTTTTTATTTATATGAAGATAATATCTAAAATAAAAGGACTTCCAAAATAAATATGAATAGATTTTTGATAAAGCCAATGTTCATAGTTCATAAAGACACGGCAAGAAATATATCTTAATCATATATATAGTCTATGGAACCGTCGAAAAAGTAATTTTGTCCGCTACATAGCTCCAAAAACAACCATATAATTCACTTCATTTGATAGCATGGTAGCACATATATTGTTATATGGTAGCGAAGTGTGAGGAATTAAAAAAGTTAATATTAAAGATATATTTTAATTAAAATCTTATAAACACATATTAAATCTGAAACAAAGTACTCAATTTCTATGCTTTATGGAGATTTAGGATAGGAATATTACCTTAATCTATTCATATAAAGAGTATTGTGTTTTTGGAATATGATTTCCAGTAGCAAACAGGAAACAATCTTGCATGATATGTCACACACTTTGTATATGTGTTGAATCTCCAATGTATGAATAGTGTTTGTAAATTACTAGTTTCACTGGGTTTATCAAAATATTGGCTTAATAATTTTAGCACTTCTCTTCCATTGTTTAAGAAAATTGTTAAAAGTAGACTACAAGACCAGTTCATTCAAAATTGGCATAGTGTTCGGCAAAGTGAAATTTTAGAATAAAAAAAATGTCTGAATCATAGAATGTATAAAAGTGAATTCAGATTTGAAAAGTTTTGAAGTCATTTTAGTCATTTAGCTATAGTACTATGGCGTTTTAGATGCATTTTGTAATATACCAAGAGAATTAAGAGTGGGTAACCTGTGCAACAATAGTTCACTTGGAGATGAATATCATTACTTATTAAATTGTCAATTCTTGAATACTGATAGAAGAAAATACATTATCAGAGAGTATAGTACTGACGTCCATTCAATCAAGTTTTCTATGTTATTGAATAGCACAGATAAGAGATATTGTTAAAACTTGTAGTATTCTGTAAAAAGAACTATAATTTAGCATTTAAGTAACTGATAGCTAAGCTTATTTTCATAATGTTACATCTTCGTTTTGATTAATATATGCCATTTAGTATATTGGTATATTTTGTGGAATTCTTTTTATGATATTTCACATTTTATGTATATTATTGTATATGTGACTGATACCTCTAAGATGCAGCAATGGTATACGTGAAACTGACTTTCAGGGACAAAACACGTGTTACATCTACCTGTAGACTTATTCTGTATTTTATATCGAAACTTTTTAAACTATTTGTATGGTTATCATCGAAATTACGTAAGTGTTATTTATGAACAGATTACACTCTTTATTTTTAACAAGGAAAACTGGACTAACTTTTTTAAATATTGCTCATATGATAACAATACGCTAGCGGCTATGACCCTCTTTGAAAGCTTATCAACCCGTAAATGTATTTGCAGCATTTTGTATTGAAACCCATTAACATAGCCATTAAGAGTCAAACTCAAAGCAAACGCATATAGGACGCCACTCTATGGATTCTTAAATATCTTATTATTTTTCTGTAAATGAGATACTTCTTTTGATATACTTTTATGTCGATCTGAATTCACTGTGACGATAGCAGTCTTCTTTACTATATTAGAAAATACTTCCATTACCGTTAAATATATTGCCTCCTTGTCTATTCAGTGGTAGTTGGTTTGAACACTATTTAGGTCATGGTCGTGACACCGGTACTTGTACGTTCTTGATGTAAAAAATAAATATAATAGCTTTATTTTATTATCACAATTAAATGATTATATTTAAAACGAAATGAACATAATTCAAACTTTATTGTTATAAGCTTTCAAGGAATGTCAATTCATTAACAAATCAATGCTTTGTTTGACAATACTTTCCATGTATGCATGCATGTGATTCAATCAATTTACTTGTGAATGCTGAAAAAGCAATGATTTTAATCTATGACTAATGAAAATCCTCTGGTATGTACTGCCAAAAGTCATCGCATATTTTGGAATGCTGAATGCTATACTCCGTTTATGAGGAACTGAAGAAAATCGAATAGTCCTCCAATAACAAAGGTATAAACAACTTTGATACTCAACCATATACTTATCAAGTAAATTCTGAATATGATTCAGCAAATCAAAATGACCACAAATTAAGGAAGACTTATCGTATAAACGATAACTTCCAGACAATAATCATATACATGTACGACTACTATAATTATGTTCTGTTTTTTTCCAGTTCAGTCACATTTACATCTGATCTTTTCTGTGTATATACCCGTTCCTGTAGATAGGTACACAAACAAACATGCGGCAATCGCTCGGGAAAATATTGCTGTACGTCAGTTCAACAGTTGCAATATGGCATTGTCTCATGGCCTCTTCAAATATCTCCGAGGGAATCATCACCATCCGAAACTTTGTTCCTCTACCATTCTTCGAGTTTTTGTTACCTTTGGTATCGTTTTCGCTATATTCCTCTACAATAATTGCAATAGTTTTCAAAAGCATAGCAAATATCGCCAAAGAGTCGAAACCAGACTTTTCAAAAGCTATTTCGTCAACATCGTTAAAGTAATCTACACTGTCAAAGTTTGTGTCTAAATATGGATTAAGTGTTTCTGGGTTGTCTTGCAAACTACCGGAGGTACGTCTTGAATTTTGGTAACATTTACCTGGGCTGATCCTTGCACCGTCGGATTTTTGATCATGAATTACATTAACACCATTCTTGTTTCCACTGATCTCTCCATAGTCTTGTTTCTGTTCCAAATTTCTTAAATTCTTTTCCGAACTGATGTCATCACTTCCCAAGTCGTGTATTGATATTTTAGGGAAACATGTCACGTTTCCATTAACGCTGCCGTTGCTATGTTTAAAGATTTCATAAACCTTTCTGGAACTGTCATCATTACTTTCGCTGTCGTGCTTTGATTGCGAAATGCTGTGCCCAATAAGGTCATGTTTCAATGCTTCATGATTTGTTTCTGAAATGATATCGTCACTTCCGTTTTCGTGTTTCAAATTCTCATAATACATTTCTGAGCCAACATAATCATCTTCATTGGTTGGTTTCTGTTTTAGGCGAAAGTTACCTGAGTGGTCATCCACATTGCCGTAATTTTGCTTTTTCTGTCGATTTAACTCATCTGAAGTACCTGGGACTGGTTTTTGAGAATATCTGTATCTAACTTCTCTTCTACAACCGTTGCTGGTGGCGACCACATCTATTTCGTAGGCTTCTGACGAGTCACCATGTTTGACAAAAGTTATTCTGAAAGTAGAGTCAACGGATTCTTTTTCATAATTTGGTGACACATTCTTTATAAATTTGTCACGCTCTCCGTTCCGTGTATTGCTTTTGTTGAAAGCAAAATTGTTCGGAAATTTTTCGATCTCATCTCTATTAGGCCGCGAAGAATACCAAAAGATTAAAATCGACACAAATGGTGATTCAGCATTACTTTTCAGGAGGCCTGAATTTCTTCGTCTATTAATTGCTATTCTGCCTGAACTACCCCTTTGTACAAATGTATCTTTATACAAAACAAATATTCGGACAGGAGGCTTTTCATCATTGTTACCATATATTTCTTTAATGTTTTCCTTTTCTCTTTTCGAGCTTGTTTTAGCAGCGTCTTTTATAAACATTTTAATGTTATAATACACGATGATTGAAGCCTCAGATTGCTCGTCATCGTCATTCCACAAGTTGTATATGCTGAAATAAGACATGGAAATACGTTGGTTATTAAAATTAATTTTGGTTTGGACATTGTTAAACAGTCTTGGGAAAATAATCTAAATGACTAAACTCGAACAGTTTCGATAGATAGTTGAATAAAATCAGCTTTTATAATTTGAATTTCAATAAATATACGTCTGGTGTAAAAGGGGGGCAATTCTGATAAGAAAAAGACGGCGTTAACCAATTGAACTACCATTTAATTTAGTATATTACGATTATGGTAAAAGGGAAATAATTATGACTGTCATATATAAATCGAATAACGATAATTAGGTATAGTACGCTCAAGAGTAAATTAAAGTATTTTGGATTTTGTTTGTTCTTTTGTTGTTTTTTTTTGTTGTTTTTTTTTTCTTCTTTTTGTTGTTTGTTTGTTCTTTTCATGTTTTGAGTCTTATATTTTGTTGTTGTTGTTTTTTCATGTTTTGAGTCTTTAAGAAAAGGAAGATAAATTTGACATTAAGTCATGTGAGAAAAAAAATCCCTTGACTTGAAAGGCGCTTCCTGGATATTAACGGGATATTACTTGCAATAAGGCTAAGTAATCCCAAACTAACCAATGATTTTATCAAATGAAGAACAGATAATTTGCGGGGTTGATTTATATTTATTGTCAATAGTATTTTAATTCATTACATTATATAGCACAGAATTTCAAAGTAAATCAAAAATTGTTTACTCGCCTATCAAGCATTGACTTTAAAAACCTGTTATTAATAAAGGCATGGAATTCTTTTGTTTGTTGTAGATTAACTTCATCAATGGAATATAAACATTGATATGAGCCGCATCACGACAAAACCAACATAATGGGTTTGCGACCAGCATGGATCCAGACCAGCCTGAGCATCCGCGCAGTCTGATCAGGATCGATGTTGTTCGCTTACTAACCCTATTACAAGTAGAGAAACTGATAGCGAACAGCAGGGATCCTGATAAGACTGCGCGGATGCGCAGGCTGGTCTGGATCCATGCTGGTCGCAAACGTACTATGTTGGTTTTGTCGTGACGCGGCTCATATGTCTTTATCTAATCTATGCTTGGAAACCTTTGAATTGATCAAGCCTAAGTGTTATTCATTTAAACTTTTCAAAGGAAACAATAGTAAAAAAAAAAAACCTTTTATAATTTCAGCCAAACTTTACACACAGACACAACATTAAATTCGGGCGTTGTAATATATTATATTTCCATAATATTTCCTTGTGAAGCTTGCTTGACTAAGTATGAATACTTTGACCCGGTAATTTTTTGCTCTCCACGTTTCAGGCATTATATATGTAAGTCTCAGATAATTCAATGTCAAAACACTTATAATAAGAAGCATACATTATAATATCTGGCTACACTGAACAATAGATCTGGTATTAAATGCTTATTATTGTTGATACTGCTCAGCTCATATCAGAAGGTGAAATAACACAGTTATTTTCTATCCTGTCATGCTTTACTTTCCGCCCTTAAGAATGAAATCAAAACTAAATTTCCGTTTTGTGCTTGAGATAAAAAACGGAGATAACTTCCGGACTTTTGCGGTTATTTTGTTACATGAGATTGTGCAAAAGTATTCGGTAAACCAACAGAAAATTGCCGGAAAAAATATTGTTGCCAAAACAGTCGAGTTGACTTGCATCGTCATAATGTCGTTCAAAATCATTTAAATTTTCAAATGAACGCTTTGAAAATTCTTTAACTTTATATATACACACTAATCTAATAAAAATAAAAAGTTTTTTTGATATGATGGGACGGAAAATATTTTTTTCCAGATAAATGTACCATTTGATGTAAGTTCAGACCACTAATCTGTGTTCAAAATTTTAGATCATTCGGGCACTTCGTTTTTCCAGAATAATTATTCAAATTGTAAAACAATGACCCAAAATGATAAGCGTTTAAACGCTTTTCACTCAAATCAGGCTAAGGAAAGCATAAAAGTACGATTTTCAGTTTATTTCAAAATATATTTCTTAACTATCTTTGCATATATTTCTGTTTAAAGTGCCCCAGCTCATTTATGTAAGAAATTCAAATGTTATGTTTTAGGCTTTTAAACCACAGTGGAGTCCCTTTAAGCCACCGCATCATTCCTGGGCAGGTTGTCAAGCAGTGTGCCAGTACTACTTGCCGTCACTTTCGCAAGTATTTGAAAGCTTCTGTACATACCAGAGCAGAAGTACAGTGCGAATAACCGTAGAAAGGATTTCATGATGAATCACAACGAAAGTGACTGCCCGGAAATCGAACCAGGGTCGCCATGCTCACAGTCCAACGTTTTACATATTGAGCTAACCGCACGGCTTTTATACACTTGTTCAAGGTTACTAGTAAATGACCAGCATCACAAGTATAAGATTCTTTCTTAAAAGCATTAAATTAGTTGACGAAATTGAGATTCATCTAAAATTTCGAATACCTTCAGGTACACTTTTGGTATGTATAAGTACGAACTACATTTGCATTTGCACATTCATTATTTCGAATCCAACTTTCTAAATCAAATAGTTTTCCTCGTTAAGATGGAACGATTTCATAAAGCTAAATTGGAAGCGATGAGGCAAAGTTGACATGAATCGTGTCATGAGAAATATTCACCACTCTTTTACCTTTTCTGTAAATGTTTTGTTGTGCTATATCAAAATGATATCACATTGTAGTAATATAGCGTTATGACTAACCAATTAAAGGAAATTGTTAATTTCCTATCAAAACAGGACATGGTTATCACTCAAGACTATCGTCGACGGTTGTTGAACATATATCTTCTTTTTGTTCTTTTCATATTGATGTCTTCAGATATGATTTTAGAAACTGAATTATTAATAAATCTTACGTCTTACGTTGGACTTGCGGTCAGTATCTTTCGTTAATAGTTAATGTGTGGTCGGACAAGTCTAGATTAAATGGATCAAGTAATATTTGTTTCAAAAGTGAGACTAATTATACAATAAATCTGCAGATAGAATTCCGTCAGTACACAATTTTTATTTTTATTATTATTACGATTATTATTTTTATTATAATTATTCTAAAATGAAAGTCTCAAATCATTGGGGTCCAAGTGAGGCAAAAAACCAATACATTAGACGGTCAAGATTGACTTTTCTTCTATAGCATTTTAAATATTTCTTATTTTTCAATAACACTTTCCTCCTTGTAACACACATGGAATATTTAAGAGAAAAAAATACTGTTTTTTTAAAGGAAAACCCCGTGTTGGAATAATCAGATATTCACACGGTTTTACATTACGAAAAAAATAATGATTTTCTATTACAGAAAACATTCTTTGTATAGGATCCTCACTGGAATGAGCGGGCTATACTCTATCACCTTAAAATGTATATTTTAACCTTTTTTTTCAGAAAGTAAAACCTGGACCGTCTTTAGTATTGCTTGTCTGCCACATGCAGATCACAAAATGTCACGTGTTATAAGTATCAACCTTTTTCTGCCCTGATTTTAGGATTGCGTAAATTGGGTTTAAAATATTTTCTAATCAAAACAGTTAAAATGAGGAGCCAACAGAACCATGCTCGAAGTCTACTTGCACATTAAATAAGAACAAAATAAAATATTCCCCAAACAAAATGTTTTTTTGATAACTTAATGTTTGCTAAGTACATATGTTCTATGTCTCAGATATTTTACAAACTATTTTTATTATTATTATTGATGCTTTGAAATGCTTCTTATCCAGAAAACACAAAATTATTCAACCAAAAACTGACAGCCTAGAACTATTTCTTCTACCATATAAACTGTGAAACTTTATTCAGACATATTTAAACAATCTACTGAAACTTCTTTTTTCCAAAACAAATAATGATAATGATAATAATTAAAATGAATAAATAAATAAAAATAAATTGCTACATAAAAATTGACCTAAGATAATACAGAAAATAACATTAACTTACTTAGCCATGTTGGAACTTTTCCACTCGCGCACAAAGTCTTCTCCTTAATTTTTTTACAATTGCGACCGTTATGTTTGAAATTAGTGTGGTGACTAAACAAAAATATTTTTTACCGGGATATGAGTTGTTCAATTGTGAATTACGGAAATTAAATGGAATCTGTCAACGCTCACAACATCGATATTTTTTCCGCATTATATTCCATCTATGTGCAACCATTTGGTTGAAATATGATAAACAAATCAGATGATACATGGAAAATAATGCGCAAGCTATAGATAGGGTGATAGACCAAATAGAGGAAAATGAAACATTTTTAGATGATACATGGAAAATAATGCGCAAGCTATAGATAGGGTGATAGACCAAATAGAGGAAAATGAAACATTTTTGGTTAAATATTATGGGGCGACTTTTTACGACCGTCACACAACGAAAGAAACCTGAACAGAAGTAAAAAAAAATAACGAAGAAAAATAGGTAGGCGTTAAATTATGGATTTTTTTTTTTGTAATTGCAAAATGTGTTATTCCTATAAAATAAATCGACGGAACGATAAGTTGTTTTTGCATTTTATCTCTTAACGAAACAGTTGAACAAAACATTTCCTCAATATTTGTAAAAAATAATCTGTCAAATGAATGCTCTGGGGAAACAATATATGAGCCGCGTCTTGACAAAACCAACATAATGGATTTGCGACCAGCATGGATCCAGACCAGCCTGCGCATCCGCGCAGTCTGAGCAGGATCCATGCTGTTCGCTATCAGTTTCTCTACTTGCAATAGGGTTTGTAAGCGAACATCATGGATCCTGATCAGACTGCGCAGATGCGCAGGCTGGTCTGGATCCATGCTGGTCGCAAACCCATTATGTTGGTCTTGTCAAGACGCGGCTTTATGTAAGAATACAAAATACAAGATAACAAAACATGTACTGAATGTTTATTTTCAACTTTCATTCTTGAGAAAAAGTAATAATAACTGTGGTTCAAGTATTTTGATTTATTAACTTTATTAACTTAATATGACATATTTTTCGTTCCAACATTTTCACCATTAATTTAACAAACTTTGCATTTTGTTGGCTGACCAATACGAACAAGGAGTAATACTTTTACATTATTTCATTTCAGTGTTTTATTAAAGGCACATTATGTCTCAGAAGTCTATGTATATTTTAATAGTTTTGAAATGTCAAACCTGTGTTAAATGATGTTAAGATAATTGATTTTGTACAAAATACTAATTAACAATAATTTTAACAGTTGCCAACATACCTTAAGGTGCACAAGATAGTTCATGTATTTAGCAAATCAGTATGATTTTTGGAACTGTAAAAGAATAACAAAATAAACATATTTTGAGAAATGAAAATGATGGCTTTCTTGGGCATAAGGGGCCTTTAAATATCACACAACACATATAACACTGTACTGATCGTGACAAACAATACGTATAATACGTGCCTGTCCCTAAGCATACCATCAAAGAATCTTTCTACATACCTAGCTTACTATAAATAACATTGTATCACCTCTACTATTATCCAACCAAGCACTTACATACATTCTTATATTTTGATTTCCAATATTAGTATATCTCATTTTCCTCATATCTCACTTTACATGTAGCTCAGTTGACACCTTCTTAATACATGTATTAGATCAAGTCCCACTTCATAAACCCGATTTTATACGAATCCCTCTCTACAAATATCTTTTTTATAGAAATCCCAATCTACCAATACCTCAGTTTACACAAATCCCACTCTACAAAAACCTAACTTCAAAAACATCCCGCTCTACAATTACCTTACTTTGTCAAATTCCTCTCTACAAATCCCATTCTATCAATACCTCACTTAAGACAATTCTCTCTGTTCAATTACCTTACTTTTTAAGAATAGCAATCTACCAATACTTCACTTCACGTAAATACCACTCTACAAATACAAATGTACATCACATTATACACTTCCCTTTCTACAAATACATCATTTTACACATCACCATGTACACTTTTCACTCTCTTAATTCTCATTCTCTGTCAATCCTATCTTTTCTGTCCAAAAAGCCGTCCCTATAAATAGGTAAAGCTATAAACATCCTGCAATCCCTAGGGAATATATTTGTGTAAGTCAACTCCAGGGATTGCATCTGACAATCCTGTAACGCATTCTCAAACATTTTAGAGGTTACAACATGCATTCTGAAAATGAACCGTCGTTGATGCGGTTTCCTCGAAGGCTCGTTCAATGTTACATCCACTACCAGCTGGAGCTGCTCTTCATGATATTCCAAGTTAAAGGCTTGAGGTATCTGAACTGAATACGAATTGTTAGTTGACATTGCAAGAAAGCGTCTAAGTTCTTCTAGTTCGTCAGAATTTCCTTTTATGTCACAGGGCATCATGACAATATTACTTGCATTATTCGCAAAATTGCTGTTGTGGTTTTCGAGAAATGCCTCACTTCGAGCATTGGTGTCAGTGTGAGTTAAACTTTTAGCACTTAGTCCTGTGATAGAAAGGTTTCGAAAGATGGCAGAATATGTTCTATAAATGCCCTTTTCATTTGATTGCCGGCCATTTTCAAGTCGAAAATTTAAAGTTGCAGACAATGGTTCAACGGATTTAAACGCTTTTATACCATTAAACTTGCCAATATTTCCTTTACTTTGCACAGTTTTATTATTTTGCAAATATTTTCGTTGGTTTTCTTCAGAGAGGTTACCAATTTTCATTTCTTTAAACAGCAAAGAAGGATTAATCTGTCTTCCAAAGAGTTTCTTATCAGTATATTTCGTTTCTCTGTCGTGTGTTCTACTCAGTATAACCTTTTGTAACAAATCTTGAGTCGGTTTTTCGATGTGTTTTACATCATTGGTATTCTGATAAGTTTCTAATTCAGTTGGATTCTTTTCTCCCTCGTGCCCAACACGTGTAATGATTTCGACTTTTTCCACAGGAGGCGCGTTTAGCGGTCGAGTAAAATCATCAACACTTAATTCATTTACAAGATCTTTTGATTCTGTCAGATGTTCATTACCTACATTTCTTAGTCCTAGGTTAATAAAATAGTCTAAACCATGTTTCTTTGACTCAATTTTAGAATACAGATCAAGCAATGCTTGGATAAGTTGCTTGTTTGTACAATTTCCTTGTGATTCGTACATAAATTCAGCGACCTTTTTCAGCACATCAGTTGCAGTGTCCAACTTTTCAATTATGTCTTGAAAATATTCTTTTAGCAATAACAGTTTTTCTTCAATGAGATAAAAGCGGTTAGTTACACTCATTCTGAAAACAAAATGTCACGAATGTGTTTAAAATGTGAAAATGTTATAAATATATATATAAATTATATATATATTCTTTTCGTTTCGATTTTTAACAATCTTTATATTCTTTTAATGATTAACACATTGGTGTATTTATATTAATATCATCATTGTCATGGTAACATATCCTGTTTGCTAAATTTTGAATGTCTAGAAGACTAAATAAAACGTAAATTAACTTAGTTATACATGTGAAGTTTTTAATATAATGGATCCTTTATTTGTTCTGTCATGGAAAAGTATCGGGACAACTTTTTCTTATAATAAAAAACACTCACATTTGAACATTTACACGTGTACTTTAATATTTGCAGCAAAAAGATTTACTATCTCACTTAGGAGTGTTTTACAAAAAGTGCTTTTTCAAGCTTGACGTGTCGCCTCATCGCACTTTAAGTGCCTTGCCACAACGTACGTCCTTGTTAAATTAATTAGAGAAACTATGGTAATTTTAGATGCGAGCATATAACAGTTATACTTCCGTTATAAAGTACGTTGGTAACATTTAATTTAGATAAATGATAACAACCCTATTACTGCAACTTAATTTTAACGACTTAATATCCATTGATACGATATTTTATTCATGTATATACATGTACGTCATACAGAAGTAATACAGCAAATAGCTGACCTACATTTTTTAAATGTGTAAACTACATATATATTACATACTCGGAAAAAATAATGCATGCTCTTACAAAAAACAAAATAATACAATTTGCAATATTAGTTACCTTGTTTGTTTTCAATATAATTGCCTGTCTCTAACCCGACGTGTAAATATTTAAATTAAACCGAAAGAAGGAAGGGAGATAAATCTACCAGTAAACAGGTTGTACGAGTATATTTAAAACATGTTTAAATTATCGCGGGTGTTTCACAAGAAAATGAAATTAAAAAGCGTATGCATCGATTTATTGCAATTTATGAAATAACAATATGCTTTAAAAATCGTAAAAACATTTTAGGTTCAATTCATGTACATGTATATAACTTTCACAAAATGAAAGTGATAACTTATCAGTTAAAATTGTATATCGAACTGCATGTGTATTATGTATTGAACTGATACAGTTGTATAAGGTTTAGGTTACATTAACTAATATTTAAAAATAATCCGAATGATATTTATTAGTTTAAGTCACATTCTATACATACATGTTCATACATGTAAAATACAAGTATTTATTCAATAAAACTTAAAATACATGTAAATGGTCATTCTTTCAAAGACTTATAGGAGGCTAGATCTATATTGTTATAAACATGTAATGAGTACCATAATATACAATCCGCATTTAAAAGGTTAGATTACCATTACTAATCAAAATATTAAATCAACATAAAAAATAATTTTATCAAATGGCGACACTCGGAATAGTGAGGTGCCCGGCGTGTCATTTCTTAATATAGTCCACCTCACAAGATCCTTCCACATTAACCCTTTCCCTCATGAGCATATTGTGAAAAATGGCCGTTTTCATTAAAAAGCCTCCTGTTACAAGATCAAACTGCAATGAAACTATGAAAAATGCTTCAATACTAATCAAACTTGACACAAATGTTGACTGGACCATTGTCTTTGTAAAGACATGCTCTGTCTTAAATTTCATGTTACCATGGCAACGAGGGGACATCGCAAAATTGCCAAAAATCACTATTTTGCGTTGACTTTTTTTTCATCAAAATTTGTTTCAAAGTGCTGCAACTTCTCAAGGGATTTAGAAAGAGTCAAAGGCTTTTCAGCGTTGGTTACACGTTACCTTATGATCGATCTGGGGTCATTTTTAGCCTCTCACAAGTCCAAAAAAAACCCAAACAGAAGGGGGCACATCCACCTTCTGGCAACCCCTGATGTATCCTTTTTGATGGAGGGCCGCGTCGAAAAAGTGCTCATTTTTTTAGCAACATTTCTCAAACGAAAACGTGTGTTTGGGGCCCAAATAGGACATTTTTTCACTACTTGAGGCCTAAAAGAGGGTGGGGGGGTCGAAAGTGCGTTGTTTCGCGTATATATGAGGTAAAGGGTTAATCTTATGTTTACCACTTTTGTATGACTTATACAAATATGCTGTATGACTAAGATATTTATTGAGTAATTTATTCAGATTTGATGTACATGTTTGACATAACAGCGGCAACCATTTGCAAGCCATTCCATTAGATCATGGTCCTATTCTGTCTTTAAATATTTTGAATCTTCCCGGTTTTGTCCAGATTGAAACATGGGAAAGTTCAATATCATAAGAATTTCATTTAACCCGCCTTGGTAAGGATGAAAGAAACATGACTTAGTATGTAAACTTAATCTTAACTTGACTCTAATGTTTAAGTGTTGATTGATTACTTTCTTTTTTCTTTCTTTTTTTGTGATTTCGTACTGATTAAATGTATTCGATATTTATATATTTCTATCTTTAAATGACTTAAATGATATATTTGCATATTCATGACATACACCTTAATCTAAATATGTATACATTTTGTAATATGCTAATATGTACTGTTTTATATGTATCACCTGATACGATCTATATATAAACATTGTTTGGTATTTATAATACTGCCTTTTTCAATTCATTGATAAAAATAAAACGTATATTAATATCTAAGTTAATTATAACAATAACTTTAAAAATGTCCAATAGCACAATCGATTTGCTTGTTTAACTAGTGTGTAAAAGTTGGATTTAAAAAACTGTTGAGTTAGTGAACAAATATTAACTCAAAAATGACACAAGAAAAACTCTGTTATTATTATCAAATACTCTTATCTTCTGTTAATATGCAAAGTGTTACATTTTTTGAAAATATTGACTGAATGTTTTGTCAGTAAATGTTAAAACGTAGTAGAGTAAATGTTGAAACGTGATTGCTATATTTACGGTTTTTTTTTCTTTTCACTGCTGTATTCAAATTTTTGGACTCAACCAAAATTCAAAATAATAATAATAATTATGTCTTTTTTAAAAAAAAATGGGTAATAAATCAATCGAACAAAACAAATAATAAAATTATCTTGATTTTACATTAGGGTGTTCTAACTAATATTAAAAAAAATACAACAACAACAACAACATCATCATCATCATCATTGTCAAAAAGAAAGCAATGAGTCAATTTAAATAATTGAAAAATAATTGTGTATGTCTAATATTTAGATTAACAACAACTGACATTTTAAAAGTATAGAGAAGAAAACTCAATATTCGCACAATATAATACAATGATCATTACAATATTGCAAACATATATAGGTTTCTTATTTTAAGTCCATAAAAATCATTCTTTTCTGAAATCAAAAAAGGAAAGAATTGATCAATGGATATAACTATTGTACGTTTGCATAAAACCACTATTTTTATAAGCCATTATCAGCTATATTACTTTTTTCTTTTTCTTGTTTTAATGGCGCACCAAAAAAGTTTAGGTCATATGGCGCCGAAAAAGGAAAAATGATTTTGACTAACCTCGGATGTTACAAACTTCAAAGTCAAAATCTCACCTGCTGGAGCTAAAAGATGCATAGACTCCAATTGTTCGAACCCATTTAGTCGCCTCTTACGATCACACGAGGATAAACGGTGACTGCAGTTCTTATCCAACAACCATAAAAGGCAACACCTCAGCCACAAGGAGACTAATAATACTTAATCTTGAAAAACAGTATTAAGAGTCTTTTTTCGTGTAAATCAGTTTCATAAGTCGTCCATTCAACCGGTGTCATCGGTGCATCTTTTAGTTTCGATCTAGGATACATCATTTTTATTATGATGGTGTTTTACAGATGATTGTCACCGAATTACAGTTTTTAAATCAAATGTGTAACACCTAGCAACCTTAAAATGGTATAAAAAAACATGCAAGTTCTATGAAAACGTAAAACACTCTTATATAACCTTTTTTTTTGATTAACTTAAAAATTAAATTTGATATTTGAAAAAAATTATGATTGCTTTACAGTCTCTTTTGTGCATGTAAAATAAAAATAGTTTGATACTCGTATTTCAAAAGTAAGCCAGTTAGTTTTTATATTAAGATTTAAACATTCACATAATAGTCTACATGTTAATAAAAAATAATATTTCAATCAAAAGTAATGGTTCAGGTATACAGAAAAAATCAAACGAAATGTTTTATTCAGAAACAATTGAATTAGCTAAACAAATTGACAATGACAATTGACCAAACAAATAATGGTAGCGAAATTTCAGACTCTAATGCTGTTAATTGCAAGTGCCGAAAGTAGTCCGCTTTTTTGAAGCGGTTACTTCCCTTTATATGTAAACTAACGCCGAAAAAAATCAGGGGAGATCACTTCCTAAAGATGGTCAAATGACAGGCGCATTAATTTTCAAGCAAAATGATTCCCGAATGGTCGAAGATTTCTAAGCGCTCGCTTAGGAAGCGAGAGGTCTGGAGTTCAAATCCCAGTTAAGGCAGCTATTTTTTTTCAAATTGTTTAAGTCAAATAAACATTGGATTAAATATCAGTGTTTAAATTAGTCTTATAGCCAATTTACTGTAATTAAAACGCTGGAAAGCATTGGTGGCACTTTACAATAACAAATTGGTTTATAATCTCACAACCTTCACCTTTCTGACATTCTGAGACCCAAACAAATTCAGCGCCTTCTGTGCTTTGATTTACTTCTCAGTTATAATTGTTAATACCAGCGATGATTTGATCTTTTCGGTTGATAAAGCCGTCTTTATACACAGGAAGAGCTATGAACATCCGACAATCGCTAGGAAATATGTTTGAATATGTTAATACTATTGACTGCATCTGCGCATTGTTCATGGCAGATTCAAACATGTCAGATGTTACGACATTTAGTTGCAATGTTAATTTTCGTTTTGTATTGTTGTTTTCGTGTTCGAACGCTGCTACAAATGAACAGTTTTCACCTTGTTTCAACTCCTCTTTATGCATCTCAGTATACAGATATATTTGATGTTGATGTAAAATACTTTTTACAACTGTCATATAATTCTCTGTAAACGTTGGAATAAAAAACACACATTTGCCTTGGAAATATGAATTACTACCAGTATTATAAAAACCTTTCCACACAAGTTTTTCAATTTTAAATGGATTATAAATATTTACGCCTTGTCTTTCATCTATTTTGAATTTACAATTAGCTGTATTTGCAATTTGTTTAATGACAATACAGCTTATTTTTTCGTTTACATTGTTCTGATTAGTTGCTTCTTCGACATTCGTATGGCCATGAGTGATATACACTCGTAAGGCTTGTTTATCCATTTCAAGCCATTTATTATCATTAAACAATTGCGTTAGCATTTTATTAACTTCTTTCTTATGTAGGGTGTCTTGTAGCACTTTCAAAACACTGTCAGTGATTGCTTGCCATAGCATCTTATTAACCAAAAGCAATTCTTCAAGCCATTCCAAAAGGCTTTCTTTCTTTAATGCTTGTTTTATCATATTACTCACATTAACCCCTTTCTCTTTTAAGGTATCTTCCAGCATTTCAGACACTGATTCATCATTGAACGTTTGCTTTAGCATTTTCGTGAGATGCTTATCCTTGACGGCTTTTCCAAATGTGTGAGAGTAAAGTTTCTTCCCGTTTCTTCCCATCAGCAATACTTTCAGCAAAATATCCATAAAAAGTTGTACAATCATTGTATGGAATCCCACCTTAGAGTCCTCTAGCTTGCCCTTTGCAATCATTGTCGTATCTTAAATATATCAAATCATGACAATATTAGATTATAAAAACTATGGGATTAAAGTTGGATATTCTCTTCTAACTAATTGAAGTTCATGGAAGAGAAATGATTGACCATTTTTCCTTATAATTTTCACATGAGAAAGTTTATACTGATTCAATTACAAAATACTACTTTAGAAACACTTTCGAATCCATCCACATTTTAAATAAATCTTATATTTAACTATTCAACATGTCAACGTTCAATGTCATTATAGTTTGTTTTTTTTCAAAGAATTAATCAAATCTTTCTATCACTAACAAAGTTAAGGTAATTTTAGGAAAATTATAAAACTTGACCATGACGGACGAGGTCATGGTAAGATAAAGGTTAAACTTATTAAATAATTCAACATGTAGGTGTGAAAATAAGTCATGTCATGTTCAAATATGAATCAAATTCTCAAATACAGAAGAGGATTTTCTAATCCATCAAATCTGTCATTTAATAGTAAAATCATCACAACTCAAGCAAAATTCAACAATTTCTTAATAACAATCCATTTCATTTAAGACTAATAATTATTATATCTCAACTAACTGGTCAAGGTCAGTTTTACAATTCGAAGGTTTTTGTCTATAGGGATGCCGTGTCTATGTATTAAGGCGTTCCATTTAATAGTTGGTATTGTTAAGAATTAATGTAGTTCTAAACGCTCGAAAATGACATGAAGATTGCTGGTATCATTTTGATCATGCAAAAGTTCAATTCAGTTTAGAAATAAATTAAACTGATTCAAAGTTCTTATTATTCCGCAGTACAAATAGGCTGAACACTGCCACCTTTTCATTATATGATATTTTCAATATTGATTACTTGTCTGAAATGATCATAATTATATACATCATACCACGGCCGGAAATTATATTCGAATTTTCGAAATTCTACAGAATATTTTAACATTGAAAAACGAATACGAATGTTCGAAAAAAGAAAATAAATGTTTTGAAATTTCATTTATTTACTTTATTTATTTCAACTTTTACTCAAAATCGTAAATTAAATCATTGACCTTCACTAGATCTTTATATAGCACATGTCAACGATTATCGCCAATCAACTTTGAAAAGTTTGGGGGTTTAGTTGATCCGAAGGGCACTCATTTCACAATTTGTAATTTAACTGTTTAACAGTTTATATTGTAAAAAAATCCGACTTAAATTTTCTTACTTTATTGATTTATGTGCTTTATTCTTTCCAATAAGAAGCGAATTGTTATACCAAGAGAATCTAATTCAATTTATAATTTCAGATATCTTTTTTCATGAGATTCAATCATATGATAAAGGCTGTAGCGCACATCTATTGTATGTTAAGAACAACATTCTGTTCTCTAAAATTTCCAACGATCATCGAAGAAAATACACATTTTTGTCATTTATGGTGTATAATAACAGATAAAACTCTTTAAGATCTATTTGATATATCATATAACCTGCCATTTTTTTAAAGACATGTATTATACATAGGCCGTTTTTCCTTAAGGCATATAAATATATAAGACGGCCAGTATACTCTTCCGTAGATATATAAGACCTAAAACGCTAGAATATTCTATACTAATAATACACTACAGCTGCATAAACAACCATCTAACGAAATACATTACTTGAAATGAATCAATAAGTTCCTACCTCTAAATTCCTGTTTATTGTCGGCGACGTATAATCCTCAAATACATGTATGGTCAACTTATTGTTAAACACCTCAATAATTCTAATAAAACCTTTTTTTCATAGATTTTGACTACGTGGCAGGAGAACGACACTGTCTATTAGTAACAAATAAATATGGCGGCTCAAAAATACATGTAATATTGGGAAACCAAACATTTATAAAATATATTATAATCAGTAGATTTTGTAAATGTTGTAAATCAAGTAAATGTTTGTGCAATTAAATATTGTTTAATGTTTTCTGTTGGTTGTTATTTTTTGTTGTTGGTCTGTTTTCTTTCTCTTTTTTTTTCATTTAAATGTTTAAAATAGTGTTATAATCATTTTGCGCGAGTGTTATCTTTACTATAAATTTTACAAAAACATATCAGCAACCTTGCATTATCACGTCTGGTAAACATTAGAGCTATCTCTTTCAAAGGTATGCGGTACTAGTGCATGTTGATAAATTTAAGTGTCAACAAAGGCGCAAGTTAAAATGTTTCCTGATAGGATTACGTTTAATACTTTAAATATGAGATATATAATTCCAGTTTGTGAAGTCATATATACAAAGTTTAAGTAATCCAGACAACCACACACTTTCAAATGTGTGTTTTTTTTGTTTTATTTCTTCTTTCTTCAACAAATTGTCAATTATATGTCATCTAAATCTGTTAAATCGAGAATATAGTTTTCAATAACCGATCAATAGCCCTGTTGTTTACCAGGCCTAATAGCAAGTTAAAAAGGCTTCCTGCGGGGTCGAGTTGTCATACTTTAAATACCAGGTACTGAATTCAAGTGTGTAATGTTGATATCCATTCTTTTTAGCAGTCAGCAGATAGAGACCAACGTAGGAGAATAAAGTTTACATAATCGATTAAAGACCGAAGGATAGGCCTATTATTGACTATAGTTGTGAAATTTACATTTTTATTTTTAATTGCACTTAATTATCCAGTTTGTTTAGGTCATATTAACTGAACTATTGTTACTCAGTTTGATGAGTCGAATAGCTGCAAGCTTAATGCCCATCGTGGCCGGCTGGGATGCTCTGTACTGTACAGTTGTGTAAAGTCGCGGCAATAGTTGCTTTTTGAGTGTAACGTATGGATGAGAAGTTTTTTTATTAGGTAAAGCAGCAAAAACTTTTGAAGCTTTTGTGTGTCTATACAAAGAAAAAATTTAACTTCGAGCATTGGCGCCAATCGTAGCAAGCTGATATTCTCTGTACTGCGCTTGGGGTACAGTTGTGTGCGGCAATAGTTTCTTAGTGTTACAGTTGAGATTTTTGTTATCCGAATGATCTTTAATCAAACTTTTTTTTTACCGTACTGATACAAGTAAATACTCAAAGTTAACGCAGATTGCTTGGGAAAATTATCGAAAAATATTTACTAACGGTTTCAAGTCCGTGAAAAATCTAAGCGCCACGACAAATTAGTTTGGCAACTTTTGCCTGCTTCGGACAAAAAGCTATATAATTTTAATTTATATGTTAACTTTAACATTTTGAAACAACAACAACAAAAAAAAACCTAAAAGAATGCACACAATTTGGTATTTTGGTGTTTGAAATGACTAGATTCATTGACTTAATTCATTGCAATGATGTTTGACTTATTATGTCATTGTAAGATCTTTTATTATAAAAAGGCAGAGCAATTGTGATCCAAGGGATCACTTTGTTTCCAGAATTTTTTATTAATGCAAAACATTCAAACATTTTCAAGTATAATAAAATATGTTTTATTTGAATAGACTCACTATGCCTTTGAAGCAGCTTATACATTGTATTTTATTTTTCATTTGATAATCGCTGATTCAATGCTTTCTTTTTAACTGTTAAAATAGTTATGTATTTGCTTGTAGATAAAACGATCACTATATGATCTCAATGAAATAATATAATTCTAAAGTCGGCGACAATGAACAAGCTAGCGCGCTTTGTGATACCCCTGCTTTTGAGCAGATATAACGATAGAATTGATAATGCTATTGGGGGACTAAGTGTTATTGATTTTATCTCATCAATGCACAAATGAGACATATATCAGCTTTCAAGTTGTAACGCAATGGCATTTTGTTTGGATTTCCGATTCATTACATCAAGGTTGAATGACAAGCAAGCGTATATAGAAACTTTATGTTTTGCCGTTTAATATGCAGTTATACTGTCGTCTTTTTCAGGACACAATTTCTACATTTTTGCTTGCATAAAAAAGTGATCAATATATTTCATGTAAAGATTGTCTATAAACATAATTCTAAAGTCAGCCACAATGAATGGGGCCGTGTGATTGCAGTTATATTGGGGGACTGAGCGCTCCGGATTTTTTCTTGCCAATTCATGAAATTGAAGCATATGTCTGTCATGCGAATGCTCAGTTTGGAATTTATGTTTGCATTTTATGTAGTAAATACATCTGCAAAAAGCCCATCAGTATAATAGTTGAAACATAACTTAATCAATCATAATGAGACAAAAATGTTATTTAGGAACTTCCGAAAAGGAAGCAGTTGCTATAATTTAAAGTGTAATTTCAATGATACAAGATGTGATTTTCTTGTCACAGATTAGCACAGAAAACAATTGTGCTTTTCACGAGCAATGTTTTTGATATGATTGAGAACAATTTGGCTCTTTTATAAATCCATTTGAAATTTCCATGCATGCATGGAGTATCAATTGTATTCCAATATCACTGGGACCTGGAATAAAACAACATCAAATACTGTATATTATTACTTTTCATAGTCAGTAGTAACCTATCCATTGCCGTCAGCTAATTGTTTTATATTTTTCAAACTCAGATCTACGACTAAGAGGCCGACTTTCACAGATGTGTTTACATTCAACAGAATAGTGACTTTATTAATTTTATTGTCTATTTTTTTTTAACTTTCTCATCAAAATAATGTGCGGAAAATGATTTTGATTTACTTTGGAATGATAACGTATCTGCAGAACTTCTAATTGCGAAAACAACTAGCATAAGGCCAAAAACCATGTTCATGTTCTTCTTCGTGCAATGAATTGTCAGACAATCAGACAAGCTCCACGATTTTTAAATTCAAAAATTATGTTATGACGTTATGCTGCTAAAATTAGTTTAGATAATCTACAACTTTTAATAAATTTCATGTTTGACAATTTTAAACAGTTTTAAAATGTACAATGCGTTTAAGACAGTAAAAGAAACATTGTACTACCACAACCAACAAATTTCTAGTATTGAACATCGTCTGTTGGGGATAAAAAAATAGAGCATGCTTGTTGATTGGCTACATTTTTCTGGGGCTTACATATTATGGCGACAGAGAAAGAGATAGTAATAGAAAAATCATCTTCAGATGTTCGTACATAGGTTTATTTACTCTGGTGTTTCATATTGTAACGACAGGGAACGTGTTTTTATTTTTGCCTTTGAAAAAAGTGTAAGAACATCAAAACATTGATACTCGGGCTCTACTCCCCCTCGTACAAATCAGATTCATTCTGCAGCCTTTAAAAACTCCAATAGACCTGTAATATGTTCTGATGAGAATATTCCCCGGGGAATACTTCTAAGGTCAATTGTGGGCACATATTACTACAAATACTTTCCACTCACCGCTATGGGTTCGAATATCTACAGGGACTTAAGATTTTTGCACGCAATGAAGCTATCCAGCTAGCGTCAGTGGTTCTATTCAGGTGTCTGTTCGTGCCTGAAATAATGCACCTAAGGCACTTAAGGTCTTCCTCCGGCACTATAGCTGGAAAGTCATCCATCATAAGGTTAATACTGTGTTGATGCGACATAGATTAACAAATAAACAAAACTTCATAATATGTAATTTCTCAGGATATCGTTAAATCAAATACACGTGATTAACGTTATGATAGTTTATATAAATCTTTTAACTGGCATTTTATCCTAACATTCTCGTTATATTAGAGTTTTTTGATTGACAATACCTAATATTACCTTTATGTTAATATTATACAATTAATTGCAATATCATATTAACGAAATACGTTTAATTAAAAATATAAATAATATACAAACATAACTCATTCTGTTATAATTGTTGATTATTGTATTCTATATAGATTACGGCTTGATATAACGAGTATTTGAAACTTATATGTTACACAAAAAACAAACTATATATAATAACCTCCTCGGGACCATTATTTTGTTATATGTCTCCATTCAATAAATACAATACCAAAGGCAAATGTCTATCCTAACTAGTCATATAAAATCAAATAAATACGCAAGTTAGAGAAAGAAGATGCATCTTTTTAATTTTTAAATGGTACACGTATTGTCATTCAAGTAAGCACACTATACGTAGCAACACAAAAAATAAAATAATGCACCATTAATCAATAAATCTTTTTCAATAAAGCATACGTAACAAAGCAAAAACAGTCAAGGTCATAGCTGATCTTTTCTATGGATATAACCATCTTTATAGATTGGTATTGCAATAAACATTCTACAATCACTTGGAAATAAATGTGTGAATGTCAATTCAATCATTGATATCTGGCTAGCCCGCATTGCTTCCTCGAACATCTCCGACGTAACCACAGATAGTTGCAGCTTGTTAACAGTATCATTTGTATATTGAAGCTTTATCTGTGTAATCATAAAAACGTACTTGTCAATAATGAAACCATATATCCACCATTTTATATTTTTGGCAGATTTAAGAAAATCAAAAATGGTACTTCTAGATTCATTGTTGTTTTCGTCTAAAATTTGATATTCGTCACCGGAACAATTCATTGAATCATGATCGATTGTCTGTAGTTCTTCGTAGCTTTTATACGTTCCTCGTCCTGTAGATATTTCATATCTTAATTTGCCTACCGATGTGTAACGGATGACAAACGTTCCATTTCGTATAACAAGCTGTTTTTTATTATATACAGCACATCTGTGGTTATTTTGTGAGGAATTCACTTCACTATCTAGAGTGAACTTGCAAACGGATTTTCGCTCTTTTGGTGAGATATTTTTATGAGAAGCAAACCCTTTCTCTTTATAATTTAGATTATTTGTCGCAGATCCTTCTTCCATGGATTTAACAATAACATGAGGTTGAGCTTTACCCTCTTTTCCAGATCTTCTCGTCAATGTTTTGTCAATGATATTTTGTGCTGTTTCATATTTATCTTTCATGTATTTTTCCACTCGCTGTACTTTTTCACTTATCCATTTCAAGATGGAATAAAGACTGTAATAAAATCCTACAGAAAAAGTTGTCGACTTTGCCCTGTGTAAAAAAATGATGATATATATTTTTTAAATTAAGATATAACTTACTAATAGTTTTTATAACATACAACATGTTTTTATGTATTGGTCGCCGTATTCAGGACATTTTTGCAGGATACATCTTTTCCGCCTAAACAGAAAAACACAAGTGCATTTTCACGAAGCGTAAATGTGTAGCACAGAAACGAGTCGTACCAACGTTTAGACTCAGTTAACCTCGGACTTTTATGAATTTTGATATATTTTACAAATCTTGCCCATTATGTGTTATGCATGCAAATCACTACGTAAATTCGTACATTGAAATTAATGAAATGAAAAATTTATGTTTATCAAAATCATAAAATTATAAAAAATACCAAAAATGCAACACACGATATATCAACTGATGTTTCAAATAATTAAAAGAAATAAAATAAAAAAAGATCATCAGTTTATGAAAGCTACTTAAGAGGTTTGTCCAATATTCGAACATTTACATGGTCACGATTCCGCCGTTCTTATAACTATGCCATCGATCATTATTTATTGATTTAATATCGAGATCTTTACTATTATTAAATTCCAAGTAAAAGTAAATAATAATAAATAACGGAAACCTACGCAATACCTCCCGAAAGTTTATGCGTCTCAGCTCAGGTCAATATTGACAAATTTTAGAGATTTGACAATATATTACGAAATCAATTTATGTAAATATTTGACATCCACAGGAATATGAAGTCTATTTCGCTAATTTTTTTATTAAAAATTTGTCTGACAGACATAATGAATTTAAAACTGACTACTGATGTACAATTATAAACAAACTCAAATAAATGTCAACAGGTATTTATAGTAGACAATTTGAACTTTCGGTTTCTACCACCATTATGATAATATATAAAATATGTACTGTTAACTTTTATATCTTTAAATTTACTTGATTTAGACGCACTTTTATTAAATATACATGTATAATTGTAATAGTCCAGCATTAAATTACTACTTGTTATGAAATACCATTTCCGTTCTGTGTATTCTTATAATTGTGTCCGAAGTTCAACGGAAAGGACCGAGAAGTTTCAAATCCGTTTAGCCTATATACTGTAGTATCAATTATATGTTGCTTCCTGTCGTGATCCGGACTAAAAAAATACCAACATAACCACCACCAATTATATCATTATCAACTGCAGTAGCACAGATACATTTAAAAATGATAGTAGTTATCAACAAACATCTGACAAGTGTATTTCGCCCGAGACGAGTATGAAAATTAGCTGTTCGTATCGTGGTAATTCTCTAATCAGTGAATACATTATACATGTATAGTGTACTACATAATGGTCTTTAAAAAAGATAAATTATAATACCATCAAAGTATGATATTTATCACAGATATCTAATTGGTAAGGTTGTGAATAAGTTTAAGAAACAGTAAACAGAGAAGTAACTTAAACTTGACGTGGTGAATGAAAATATGATTAAGATACGAAACTTACATTTTTTCCTCCTAACATTCGATATCCTATTTTCATGTTATACATGTAAAATAGAACTGGAAACCCGAGTTTATTTTTAGAAATTTGTCCGCGTGACGAAGGAGTGAACAACTGCTATTTAAATAATACAGATATGCGTTTACATTACATTATAAACTTCCAATATTTTTAGGCTTTTTTACATGTTAGAGCACAACTCTTTCAAATGGCTATAAGATAATACCAGCGTGTTTTTCATCATGTTTGCTACCGTCATTTTTAAAACTGAATACAGTTTCAAAAATGAAATCTAATCAAATATTATTCACCTAGGTGTATATCGACAAATTATTAAAAGCTTGGACACTATCAAGAGTGAATAAAAAGCTTTGGTCAATCAAAGAACAGCCATAAAAATTAAAATCAAATGTTATAACCTATGTTATAGAACATAATCAGCAATTCTTTTTGCGTGTTGAATATCACGTTAATTAATCTGTTATTGTCAATTACGTTACAGACCTTAATTTAGATATTAATTCATTATCATTTAAATTAAGATTTGGCAATTCGACAATAAAGGAATGGGGGATTTTACAACATTTTCACAATGTAATAATTAAAACATATGATTATTATTCATAATTAATGAACTAGGTTTAAAATAATTGTTTGGTTGTGGTCCTGATATCAAGACAAAACGCATTTTTTCTCGTGAATGTATTAATATATGTATACTGAGATATTTAAATAAACTTTGACCCTGGTCCAGATGATGTAAACAGCATGTTCCTTTGCATTATTATAAAAACTTTGCCAATTGGCAATTGGATTATTTTTGTATTTGAGGATTGACTTTTGCAACACGTTACCAGCCTATGACTCATATCTCTATTTTTAAACAGGACAATTATATGCTAACCTTATAATTATAATCACAAATTCCAGTGGTTTATAAAAGTTGTACTAGTCCATGTACTACTTAGCCCCAGTTCATTCTAATTCCAATGATCATTTCGTCTTTTCAATATGAAACACATAAAAAATACAACAAACTATGTATGTTTGGTTTCTGTCTAATTATTAAAATGAACATATATGCTTAATGTACATTGTACAGCATGTCTAACTTAAAATAAAGCATTTTATTATCAGAAATGTATCTAAATTGTTAAAAAATGCACTTTGAATATATCTAATTTCGTTAAACATATAAACACTTTGCTCTTGATTAAATGAAACAACAATATCAAACCACTTAGAAACATTCATTTCCTAGAAAACAAATTCAGGTTATCCAACCTATTACAATTACATAGCGATAAGAAAAAAATACACGTTTACTAAAGAACTGTAAAAATACATCGAAACCGAAAGAAAGATTAAAGATAATATTTTAATATTAAGAATATTTTTATCCCATATTTAAAATTTGATATAATATCATAAGGTTTTTGCCAAGGCATATGATACAAACTGTGAGAAAACACCATTATTCATTAGTCAATGTGTGGTAAACGTTTTATTAAATAGCTGAAACACTGGCAGTTGTTTTTTAGCAAAGAAATGTTTTAGGGGAATTGATATTGTTATTTCATTTTTTCCATCGACAAAATATTTACATATTGAACCAACTTTAATACAAACAATGATACTTTCAACAAATCAGGTATATCACTGATGATGAAATATCTTATAATAAGAAAGGTAACTATTCATTTCCCTCACAGCAAGCTATCTTACATATATATACATACATAAATACATATATGGTATGTTGCAGTGGCCATACGATTTTATGGTAACCAAAATGTCTTTGACTTTTTTTCCAGAACTAATATTCAATGATAATGTTGCGCATTTGTTAAAAATTAATATTCAAATATTGTCTCTTGAAAGTATTATAATACTAATATTAAAACAGATGGTAAAACAGAAATAGAGCCAACATGAGTTAGAATAACGTTGACATAAAATGTGATTCGAAATCAAAGAGAGCCAAAATTTTAGAAAATGACTTTGAAAAGGAGTATACTATAAAAGCTCGGACTTTAGATTATACTTCTGACAAACAAAAACATTTTCGTTACCACTTATACTAGTACCCAAACTGGTTTAAGTCATTTTAAAATGTATTTATCTGAAATTCCTAAAGAGAAAACGTAAAGAAATTGCAAACAAATGATACCGTGTCTCTTTTGACTAACATATAAAAAAATCAACAAATTTAATCAAGAATAAGATAACCGATTATTAAAAGTAAGACACCTTTGCATAATTATAGACTAGTTTTGTTATCCAGTAATTTAAAACCTGATTTAAATGATAAAAGAATGTAATTAACATTAAAAATGTAATAAAAAACAACAGGTACTATCATTATAAAGTATATTTTTACAATTTGATCTAACAAAGAGTACGTCTCTATTCTATTTCCTTTTGTTTTGTAAAACAACTACTTTTTTCAGAAATTATAAGGAAAATTTAAAAGTAAAACGAATAAAATTCATCTGCATTAATTGTAAATATTTGTATACCAATAATTTGCTTTTAATGAAAGGCTCTTTACTAAAATAGATTTGAGACAAAATACATTTTAAATGAGCATAAACAACTGTGAATAAAATTATAACAAAACATATTACCACTGAAAGACAACCATATATTAAACATGGCTAATTAAGATGCAAGACGAATGAATATAATTGATCTTAACTCAAAGACATTGTATAAATTCCAAAACATAAAGATATAAAAATATCATTTTCATTGTAAAAACAAACAAACTTAAGATAGTATCAGTACACAAGGTACTGAGTCTTCACTTGATAATCATTCCATAAATTATTTCAATTAAATTTTGTTCTAAAAGTATTCTTGGTTAAAAAATAATCTCGTGTAAATATCTTTTTTTAAAAATGAGTCAATCGAAATAAGCGTTCATACAAATGTTATGATTTTGCTTGAATACGAAAATATTTAAACATTTTGAAAACTTGAGAAATTGTCTTATATACTTAATAGCATTAAATATGTTTGATAACATTGTATTTTATATAAATGGTATACAATAATATATACAACACTCGGTTGCAAAAGAAAGTGCGTACTTGGTGACTTGATAATTCTGTAAACATACATGAGCAAAATATTGACACATTTGGTATTAAAATTTGCAGAAATGTATTGACCATACAATGTTTTAATTGTACTGAAATTTGATAATCATCATAAGTTTGGTTACGTGTAAATAGCAGTAGGGTGACACGAATTTTGACGTTTTTGTCTAGTTAATAAAGTGACCATTGAAGTGACCATTAAATTATTAATATCTCTTGAGTGCAATTCATCTATGGATCAACAAAAATGTTCGAGACTACAATGACCTGGCGTAAAGCCATATAAACTTGGGTTTGAATGATGTTCCGCTTAAAACTTCAAGTATCCAAAGAAAAGAAAACATCGCATTATCAAAAGGCATTAGTCTGCAATTATCATGTTTTATCCAACAGCTGTTCACACGTAACCAAAATTCTGATGATGATCAAATTTCAATAAAACGTAGCCAAAACATTGTGTAGTCAATACATTTGTACAAATTTTTATACCAAATATGTCAATATTCTGCTTTAGCAAGTATACACAATTTTCCTGGAACTAAGGACACACTGTCTCTAACAACTGAATATATAAATGGTACATTTTCCTTACAGTAGATAGACTGTTTAAATAGTGATTATAATAACTACTTCTGATTCGCAAAATAAGAACAAATCTAACAAGCTTTCAATGTGTTTTTTTATTTGGGTTATTATTTATTATCACACCAACCTTTTCAATTAAATAATCGCATTAAAAATGATATTGGCCTTGTTCGTTTACCCTAAAAATGGCATTATTTGCAATTAAATATAATATCAATCGAACTATATAAAACTCTTAGCGTTTTAATTGAACATTTATTGTCAGAAGAAAATATCAGGTCTTTCTGTCCTATGTTATCTAATGTGTTCGTCAAGGACCAATTTTAAAGAGAAAAAACTGTGAAAAGCAGCTAGCAATATTTTAAGTGAGAAAAATGTCACTTAATGAATGCTTTTGAACAGTTCAGTTAAAAATCGTTAGAAAATCTTAACAAATATATTACGTTTTGCACATATACCATAAATAGGATCTCACTAATATACCGTAATTAAAATCAGTAGAATATAGAATGTATATCCAAGCTTGAAAGTAGATAAATCAGGCTAAATATTGATAGCAATAGAGGGTTGTTTTAGTTACAGATATCATGGTACATATATACTTTGGTAACAAGAGTGTCAAGCTATCACTTGATTGCTCATCTGAGAACTATTGCTAGAAAAGTTTCTAGAATATTTATTTTTAATATCAAAATCTTCTCTGGGTTATATTTAGGGTCAACTGTAATTAAATTGTAATTTACAATACAATAACTATTTAAAATGACAAACTAGGTACAATTCAAGAATGAAAATGAATATTAGTACATCATTTAACCTATCTGTTAACGACCATGATGAGAGGAACATTGTCAAATATCAACATGTTTACTACGGGCGTTGAGACTTAATCATGAAAACATTGTTATGTTATTTCCAAGCAACAAATATAATAATAATATCATAGTAAATGGTCATGTTTGACCGCAGTGTCAAGATGATTTATAGAATTGTGCCAAGCAATGCTACATGCTAAATATTTAACTGTTTGTCATATAATTAAGGCAAAACATAATTTTAATGTAATGCTCGATATCTTTCTAGTCTAAGTGACAAGCTAGAAAATAAAAACTTTGACCGAAGGGACATAAGTTCTTTTTTGAAGAAGACAATTGGGTCACTACTATATACCAAACCAAAACTCAAAGTTCTTGGTATTGAAGTTTCTAAAGAGA